ATATATTTGTTTTGAGCCCGTGATACTTTTTCAGGATTCTTTGATGAATAAAAAGTTAAAAAGAACAGCATATTCAAAATAAAGATCTTTTCTAACAATATGTCTCGTATTTACTATCACTTTTTATCAGTTTAACACATCCTGAATAAAAGTATTAATTTCTTTAAATTCTTAAAAAAAAATGACTGATCCCAAACTTTTGAACGGCAGTGTAGGTAACTAATTTTTCAGAACGGTAGCTTCATTTTAGCTAAACTACTTGAAATTATTGAGTCGACTCGACTGCAGCTAGTCCATATTTCGTTCACACTGAGGTACATTGGCCACCACTGTTTTTTAACTCGCTCACCAAGGTTGTTATCTGTTAGAACTTCTTTCACTTTCTTAGTGATGGCGTAGGTGTCCAGCTCAGGCGACATCGCTACCATCTCTTGTATGTTGAGCCCTGAGTGTCCCGGCAGAGGTAACGGTAGAGGCGTGCCGGGCTGGGACTCGGAAGTTTCGCTGGGCTCCTGGATGGACACTCGGCACATCTGCTCCTCCTGCTGGCTTTTAACAGACTCCTCAGCCGAACTCAGAGGGGATTCTGGGGCAGGACTGCAGCTGGCTGAGGTCTTCGGAGTAATCTCTATGGAAACGAGAGGAACAGAATTAAGACGTTGCGCCAATGCAGCACGTGAGCTCGTCCGTTGACTGGGCATTACTAATCGACAGAAGGCCCGAACGAAGATCTGTCTAAATATGGAGCGAGTAGCCAATGAAACCGTAACCCTAACCAAGGTCTTCCTGCTCAGCAACAGGAAGTGATGGACAGTGACAGATGCATCATGTCATGCCAAGTCACAGCTTCTCTTGAAGCATAATGAGACAACTAAATTAACGAGGAAGAGAGACAAACGCGTTTGGTGTTCTGAGAATTAATATGGTATGTACCAAGATAGCTCCTCCAATAACGCGCATGTCTGTGTTTAAAGGGACAGTTCACCCAAAAATAAAAATTCTGTCAATTTATTCACCCTCATGTTGTTCCAAACCTATATGACTTTCTTCTATGAAACAGATTTTTTTTTTTTTTTTGGAAGAATCTCCAAGCTGCAAGACCGAAATTACACTATCGTTCAAAGCTGGGATCAGTTCAGTTTTTTATTTTTTAATGAATGCTTTCAGCAAGGATGCACTAAATTTATCAAAAGTGACAGTAAAGACAAATAATATTACTAAATTTCTATTTGAAATAAATGCTGAACTTTCTATCCTTCAAAGAACACAGAAAAAAAAAAGTTTCCACAAAAATATTGAGCAGCACAACTGTTTTGATAATAATTGATAATGCGAAATGTTTCTTGACCACAGAATCAGCATATTAGAATGGTTTCAGAAAGAAAAGGAATAAATCACAGAAATAAATTACATTTTAAAATACATTAAAATTGAAAGCTGTTCTTTATAATATTTAAAATGTTTATGTTAGCTTTATACTGTATTTTGACTGTATAAATGCAACCTTAGAGAGCATAAGAGCGCATGGTTTTAAAATCTTTCCCTCTGTCATAGTTTCATTTGCTCATTTTTTATATATTGTGTACATGTACAATCATGTATTTTGATGCTGTCACCCTAAATGAGTTTCTCACTGTTTTATTTTTATATTTACATTTTTAAAGGCAATTTTTTTTAATTAAAGTGTTTTTATATTTTATATATAATTGTATAATCTTATAAGTACACATAAGTACTTATAAGAAATATTTTAAAAAGACGACGAAAAAAATCTAGAAATGTGAGAGCTTAAATTGTAATCTCATCCACAAACTAACAAAAAAAGAAAGAAACAAACTATACAATTTGTGTTTAAAGGAAAATAGAAAGCCATACATGTTTGCAGTGACATAAGGGCAACTAAATAATGACCGAATTTTCATTTTAAGTAAATTATTATTCCTTTAATACGCAGACATCAAGCACCCAACACTCTCTCTAAAACTCTTCCCTTTCATTTCCCATCTTCCTCTACCCCTCTATTTCAGCTTGACTCTCTGATTCGTTGGCTGTGGCAGTGCAGTTCAGTGCTGGTGGTGAAGAGAGCATCGGGAGGAAGCGTCAGTTTGGATTAGCTGCCTGCCGAGCTGGGGGACATGGCAAACAGAGAGCAGGGTGCTCAAGGCGGGGAGCAGGCAGTCATATCAGATCTCCAGCAAGACCACGCACAGCCTGGTGACAGTTTGACTGGCGGCATGGTCTGTGTGTGTGTGTGTGTGTGTGTGTGTGTGTGTGTGTGTGTGTGTGTGGGGGGGG